GTAAAGTATCACAAGCCTTTATAAGAAGAAAAGTGGTTGTAGCCGAGCGTGTTTGGGTAAACAATTCTTTTCTTTTTGCAGAAAAACTCACTGAAAACTATTTCTTTCGAGAGAAATAATTTTGGCTTGTAATCTTTCAGTACCCCTCTCTCCTTTCTTTTCGCTGTGCTGTATTCGAAATCTACATAACTCATTTACCGAGCACAGCACCAGACTCTCTTCACTGGGCGACTGACCTATTTCTAGGATAATGCCTTGCCGAGCAAGTGCTAGTGTACGAAAAATCGGGGTAACAGGTGGACCTCATTGGTCGACTCCCTAAAGGTTAGTTCTTATTGTTCTCGTGACGTCATCACAGTAGTTTACGACCCCTTTTGAACTTTTTCTGTAGGTTGAAATACTTTTGGATTTGGGTTTTCAGTAAAAAGCAAACCTGCATGTTTAAAACATAACAGAAGTGAGAAAACTATACACCAACGTACCTTGTCCTGGCTGAACAGTACGGGCTGGGTCATCAACAAATCTCAGCAATGAAGCGGCTGCTTGAAGGGAGTCAGATGTCGAACGACCAAGTGAATAAGGCGTCCGTGCGTCGTTTGAACGTGGCATCAATGAAAATACCTCAAAGTAATTGTCTGAATGGTTGAGAATACGAAGTCCCAAAAAAATAGGAGAATGTCAACAAAAAAAGTCTTCTTCAAGTGTCATTCTCCCACTCATCCTGGGAGGCACAGATTTCCAGGACAAATAACGAATACAATGTATATGAACAAACAACTTAAGAGTACTTCTGTGCTATGATCGATCATCTCCAGAAGACAGATCTCAATAAAAACTCCAATCACCCTCATCGCAACAGGCAAAAACAGTTGCATGACCACACGGAACCCAGTCATATAAAGGAGAAAAGATAAAGTTTTCACCACTGTCCCATCCTTTGTTCAGATAGACCACGCATTCTACTTCCAAGTGGCTTTCTAATGCGATGTGACCTGTACCATGACTCACGGGTGGCCAGCAGATGTACAGGGCAGTGTTCTTATCCTCCCAAACAAATCTGGCACCAACTCACCGTTCCGGTAGATAGAATGCTTGGTTGACCTGGGCGAGTGCAGTATCAGGGATCTGATCTCCGGACCGTCCGTATGATGAGCGTGCCACTTGTCACTACACCACACCTGCCTCACCCAATCACATGATCATCTCAAACAGCAACTCTTCATTCAAATAACAGTTCCGTGGATATTTAACTAATACAGCGCATTGAAGACGAATATTAAACCCAGAGCGACGTATTGAAAGTGTTTCCTGAGCCGATGTAGCGGCCGACAGCGTCAGTGACCGCGTCTCTGGGCGAGTTAGGCTCGGGATGACTTTCGTATGGTCTAATTATGCCTTCCATCCACTTTAGTCAATCAAGGCGCTGTTTAGCGACGGGGGGGCATTTTGTACTAACATTGCTTCCCTAGTTCCGGTTTACGAATCTCACCATGGTAAAACTTGTGAACGCCTGTGAAGCTGGAGTAAGATCGTCTAGCCACCATCCTAAAACGTGTCAACTCGAGAAAAATGCCTAGATTTCAAGGGTCGCCCCAACATCTATGAAAAAGCCCGAATGCCCCCCCCCGTCGACAAAGTGCGCCGTCAATCAATTGCAATAGACTCATCTGCAAGCATAAAAACGCAAACTTGTAGTCGGCTGGTACTGCAATTCGGTTGTGCGCGCGCTCAGCGTGCTACCCCCAAACGGATTTGTACGGTGGCGCCCTGTTACTAAAAGAGATTGATCAACCGCCCTGGACACCATTTTCACTGAATAAAATCTGTAGTGATATCGGCAGAAAATAAAGTATTGCACCATTGTCAAGGCACGTCGTACATTGGGGACGCCAGCGAAGAAGGTCGCATTTGGTAGCTAAAGGGTTGCTCAATTATATTAGAAAAAGCGTTTTTGAGCCAGGGCGGACGTATTGTGATGTGCATGTGGGCGCTCTCAACATTCGCTACGCGCGTCGAGCCTCAAATCTTAGATCTGGCACCCTTCGTGCAACCCAGTCCCTCATCGTATGAAATAAGTATCATGAGTGCACACGGATTAGTCTCCTAATTGTATAGCGCCACACATAAATACAGCCACCTGTTCTCTGAAGGTATGCGTGGACATCCTGATAAACTGTGAGAGTGATTCATCTTCTATTTCTTTATGCTTGCGTCCAGTTTTGCTGCCTGCGATAGACATGATGAAACTGCTTGCCATCGCACTGATCTACACAGAGAAATAGTCTTCAGAACTGGCTGCCACTACGCTCTACTTTCAGTTTTTAAGGGACATTTCTATCACGAAGCCCAAATGTGCCTAAATCTTTGTTTTTGACTTCTCGAAGCAGCTTCTCACTGCGATAAAAAGGCTATGCCTTACAAAAATCATGACCCCGAAATTGCGAGGATATAATTCAGGATTCTCAGAGGAGCTCATGCTCATTAATCCATGTAAACAACGATGTTAACTCCGGCGCCTTCTATAAATGGACTGACGTCTCGGCCAAGACAATCGATTCATTCCAATAGCACTTCTGCAAACAAACCATACAATCAGGTGCGCTTCGCGCTGCTCTCGATCAATCTCAAGTTCTCAGCGATTCATATTGGCGAGCAAAGCTTCTTAGAGGAGTATAGAACCACAATTTCTATCACTAAAATCTTACAAATGCTGTCGGGGGACTCCAAAAACATTTTCACCCGCTGTTATCGATTGCTCTTAGGTATAACATCTGTAGTTTGACGAGTCTGGCATGAGAACAACGGTCAACCTGCGCACAGTAACTCAACACTATTCTTATGACTCGAATCTGTTTCCCCTTAACTGCTTCAATCATCTCTTGACAGGGAAAAAGCAAGATAGGAAGAAAAACCCGATTCCCCAGCATCCCACTACTCGTAAAGGACACCAATACAAGTTGTCTGAACGTCTTCAGAACTTTTATTCATAGATGACGGTAAATAATGGAGCAAGGGAGACGGGCAAGAGAATCGTAATGTGCCGCTCCGCCGCGCACGGCGATGGGCCTGCGGGTCTTACCGTTTTCTCAACTCGTGTTAACCTTTTTAATTTGAGCACCGAACTTCATGTAGATCCAGTCATCGCAGATTTTCATGGCTATTTCTGGTTCTAAATATGCCGTGCTAGTCGCCATCTGCTACCTGGAACCATCGTCATTTGCGGGCGCGACGTCGCACGACGCCCATGAGCAGCGAATTACGATTCTCTTGTCATATATCCATGCAGCAATTGCTAGCAAAGTTAAATATCGACACCATTCAACATCCTATTTAAGATGGACAAGATTTGGTGTGAAGGTAGTGAACAGGGCCACACCGCGTCCCTCTCTCTAAACAAAGCCCACGCTTATAGTTAGAGCGCAGAAGACCAGAATGGGACCCTAAATACATTATTCCCTACTGTATTGCCGGCTGCATCTGCGGCGGCTCAAATTCCCACAACAAGGTATTAGGTTGTCCGGAAAGTTTTGAGAAAATTTCACACTTTTAGTTTGAAGAAGTGTAGCAAGCGAATGCCCCAACAGAAAGTCATATATCAAGTGCTATGAGAAAGAGAAATGTTTGTAGATCAATACTAATGTTGGTTGTTATTCTCCATTGTTGGTATGATTTGACATTACCTGAAAATGTACGAGCGCGCACGACTCCCAACGCCTTTTACTTCATCTTCACCGTTCTGCTCCTCTATGGGTCAAATCGGGAATGAATGGAATGCACTTCAAAATCTTCTATACTAGGAGATCAATCGGTCTCTTCCATGGAAGTTTAGCTTAGATGTTGCGTACGCCCCCTCATTCTCAGTACTCGCTTAGTTCTAGCTCCCACGCAAGGTAATCCCGCCCAAAAGGTAAGGGACATAGGATGGACAACATTTATTATACTATGAACTACTATTGTTGTGGATAAGTGGTAAATGAGCTGGTTGAAATTTCTCAAAACTTTCCGGACATAGTGATTCTAGAGTGAAGAAGAAAGCAGGAAAAAATCCCAAAGGAAATGCCCTATATAGAACCCCATGCTGAACCGCGCTTGCATGAGCATGAAACGGCGCAGTAAGACGAGTTGTCCTTTGTTGGTGTCAGCTCATTCTCCTTATCACGTACGAACTGGACTGGAGGAAGTTGGTAGCGGAACAACCGCACCATCAGGTAGCAGCTAGTTGAAAACAAACGGAGGGCGTCGCGGCAGACAGTGGGCAGGGAGGCGGTACCGTCGCAACCAAAGAAGGTTCCTGTACATCAAATTAACACAGGGCGTGCCTTCCAACAATGCTGGAAACGAGTTGTACCCAGACCCTTTTCTCTGATAAGGTAGTACTGGTCCACTGCTATGTTACCCATTCCCATGGTGTGCCAGACACAGACAGACAGACAGACACACACACGTATCTATATCGCGAAATGATCGGGAGTATACCCTGCAAAAAATCTTACATCCAGGCAACTTCATAGGTTTCCCCAGATTTCAACTTTCCCCTCGAAGTCCAGCACCACAAAGTAGCAGTTTTGACGAAGAAAACTGCATACACCCCCGAAGAGATGAAAGCTCACTTCGAAAATATAAAAAAATGTAGACAAATTCAACAATAAAATCACAAGGAATGTATACAGCAGCGCCCTAGATCGTCATGACAATACACAACAAAAACAGCATTATTAGAATAGCTTTATCACTGTAAGACATGCAGAAATACTTCACAAAATGACGACCAAACACCACTGACGGAGAATTCAAGCATACAGCGTACAGCAGTTCTCGCGGTTTTAGGATGGACTTAGGATGAGACTATAGCGTGACAAACTCTGTAATGAAATCGAAGACAAGTGAAGCTAACGATTGAGAAACAACTAGGAGCAGATTCTCAATGAACCGAGAAAAACCTTTGTGTTTGCGGAAAGTAACGAAGAAAATGATGGTGTGTACAAAAAAAAATCGCTGAATAACACAATCGGTAAGGATGACGGGAAAATGGACGCATAGAGCACTAGACGGTGAATAGAAAAGGCGTTCATCGTCAAACAATAAACATATACACTTTTGGATGTAAGCAAATATGAAAAGGAATAAAAATGGGCCCGAGGAAAGGGGAATTTCAAACTGACGTCACAACACAGCTCACATCCAACGCCAACGACAGACACACAGTGGATATGGATTTAATGCTCACATAAAACTCAACTGATTGGGCACAAGTTGATTCCCAAGTAAGCCGAATCAGACAGCGAAAAATGGGAACGGCGATGAAATGGTCCTGTACGTGTGTCGGCAGTGAGGAAGCGAGTGTGCTCTATCTCATATGCGGGACACCACTTTACTTGCAGCAATTACCCTTCTGCGCCTGTTGCGGCTGGTTCATGTCCACCGTACCGCTTGGCTCGCCGGCTGGTGGACCGATCGGTAGTTTTTTAGCAATCGCCATGAAGATATCGTTTACATTCATTGAAGTCTAAAGGAAAAATCAAATAAAGACCATGGTCCGTCTAATCAGAACTGGATAGGCATCAAGAAGCAAACCTTTGCGGAAGTTTCCATAAAAAGAAGAGCATTATCCTCTGCATAAGCTTGAGCTTCCTCGTATTCAACTGTTCTCTAAATTCCATAGAATTAGAAACAAAGGTACAAAACAAGTTGCCTATGATGAATAAAGAAAAGAAAAAGAACTGAAGGGAGGTCCGGAATAAAAAAATTATTTTCAGGCGGAATTTTAATGGATTCTAGACAAGGTTGAAAACCAAAAATAATGCTGCCTCGCAGATGCAAAAAATAAATCATGTGAATTTTGCTGAAAAGACATTCCGTGATTGCATATTGTGAGCACTCGTATTCTTCTGCGAACCTGTGGTTGCTAAGTGACTCCAAGTTAGTTCTTTACATTATCCAGTACTAAACGTCATCCAGCACAACCGCATTAATCGAGAAAAACCGAGTAAACGAAACACCCAAAGAAAATAGGCTGCAAAAACTTGGGCATGCGGCAAGACAGCCGTAATACCGTGGTACTGGATGTGCGACGTCGCGCAAATGACCGCGATTCTATTAGGTTGTCCGGAAAGTTCTCAGCGTTTTGTGTTACTATTTTTTGTACATTCATTGCTGATTAAAAACTCATTCTCCCTTGCGTCTCAGTAGTACATCCTGAAGAGAATTTTTTGCGCTATCTGATGGTAATTGCCGTTTCACCATTGCTTGATAAACCCCTTTTCCCAAGACTTTTTGAAGCATGTCAAAAGAGCAACTTCGGACGATATTTTTCTTCAACTACAAATTGGGTCAATCCGCAGTCGAGACAGCTCGACAAATTAACCAGGTGTGGGGCCCAATAGTGTTGGAGAAAGCACCGTGCGACAATGGTTCGACAAATTTCGTTCTGGAGATTTCAGCCTTGAAGATGAACCTCGCAGCGGTCGACCTAAGCAATACTGACGGGGATTTTTGTGGAGCCTGACCCATCCCAAACAGTTCGAGAGATTGCAGAAAAGCTAGGCGTTGGCAAATCCTGTTGCAGATGGTCTGAAACGCATTGGGAAGGTGAAAAAACTCGATAAGTGGGTGCCCCACAATTTGAGTGACCGGCAGAAATTGGCACTCTCGAGATTTCTTCTTCACTGAACTGTCACTGTCTGGACCGAATTGTCACCTGTGATGAAAAGTGGATCATGTATGATAACAGGAGACGTTCCGGACAGTGGTTGGATGCCGACGAACCACCGAGGCAATTTCCAAAGCCGAATCCTCACGAAAAAAAGATTATGGTCACAGTGTGGTGGTCATCGGCTGGTGTGATCCACTTTTTGTCACCAGGCCAAACCATCACAGCAGAGTCCTACTGTGAAGAAATCGACGAAATGTACCGAAAATTGCCTCAGCTGCAGCCAGCACTTGTCCAAAAATTTCGTGGATGCTTAAAGGAGAAGAGAAGAGCCAGCACTTGTCAACAGAAAGGGTCCGATTCTTTTGCATGACAACGCCCGCCCACACGTTTCACAAATCACTATCCATAAATTGAACGAATTGGGGGTTGAAGTTCTACCTCACCCGCCATATTCTCCAGACCTTTCACCAACCGACTATCACCTTTTCAAACATTTTCAGAACTTCCTTGCTGGAAAACTTCATCAATCAGGACCAGGCAAAAAAAGCCTTCGTGGATTCTCGACCACCCAGTTTTTTTCTTTGATGGGATTTATCGACTGGTGTCACATTGGCAAAAGTGTGCTGATTCGAAGATTAAATCCGATGAGTATTAAGAAAGTTATGATCGTTTGAAGTAAACACACAAAACGCTGAGAACTTTCCGGACAACCCAATAGGTCGTAGACGGTGACAACAGATGATGCATAACCGAAAATAAGTGTAAATATCTACGATTTGCGTAGCGTACATGAAACCCGTCGCACCAATCGACCGGCTATAGCGTACATAGGAAACGCCGCGCCTATCACTGCGCTAGATGGAGAGGCAATTACGATTGTCTTGGCGGTCTCACCAAAAACTTCGTGTACAAAAGATGGGATCACTATAATACGAGAATGGCACTGGAGCTAATACGAGGAGCTAATGTAAGTGCGTCAGCGGTGAATCGCCGAAGCAGCATTAGAACGCATCTTACCTTGCGAATTGAATCACAATAAACTACACGCGCTTCTTTTTCGGAGAGCAGAATACTCAACGAAAGCAGTATGTCCATAGATACTAGCGCAGTGATGAAAAATTAGTAGTGCAGTTTTTTTGCCGTCGTGCCACCTAACAGTAGCTTTGAAGAACGACCTCAAGTGTAAGCCAATATCGGTGGGGGCGAGCCATCTTCTCAGCTGGATTCCCTCCATCTTATAACGGTCACAGCGCCCTCATACCTCATCGCGAAATTGAGACAAACTCCTTGGATCGCACTACTTGGGTAAGGAAGGAATCCTACAAATTAGTGAGCGTGGGATGTGCATTCAAGGAAGGCAATCCACAAAAGCGAACAGGAAGACTTGGAGAAATATAAAAATGGGAGAGGCGTTGAATGGAGAAAACTTCCTTCACTTTTTCCATCCCCGCTGTTCAACGCATGCGAGGGAAGTAAGATGTTTTCTCCCGGAAAACTCTGAATATCATGATCTCAAGCCGGGAAAATCATCATAGTTAACCCCTTTTCCTCGATGCAACTGGTCTACGCTACGTCTCTTTCTGATTCGCGGCGAACCGAAGCAAATTCGGAAAGCAGTTATGTTACCCCATGTATCGAAACCGACGCATCTAAAAAAACCGATCGAGTTGGGAAGCGATTAATTTCTACCTTCATCAAACTAGACTACATAGAGACAAAAAGGATATCCCATTGTAAGCACCGTCGACGGAAACTTAATTTGTCATTCATAGCGAACTGACTACATATATGGAACTTGAGCACAAAAAAATTGCCACGAGAAAATTTTTCATCCGTACTAAGCGACCCCCCTAATTTCCATAGTTCAGTCGTTGTAAACCCGGCTCTAGTAGATTCACGTTCTCCGTTGTACAACGGCCCCTTATCTGCTCTCTATCGGCTATTTAGAAGTGCCACAACTACTGACATATCATCTTTCCTACGGCATTATTTCGACGGTTCCGCAGTGCTACCAAAGACATAATGTAACTCAAAGATAGTCCACGCGCCCAACCAGTTTGCATGCGTCCCCCCTGGTCAAGGAGTCTGGTCCACAATCTCTCAATTTATCCCACTTTCGCGGAGTAAGCAACGAAAGCATTGCGGCTCTAATAAGTGACAGTTCTGACGCCTCGCTAGTTTTTACAACCTGCTTTTCGTTTTCTTCTCACTGATAGATCCTCTTCAACACTGGATGACGTAGGGAAACGATCAGTGAACCAGTGGGGGCAGAATATCGCTTTGCTGGTACAAAACGAGCAAATTCGGAGAACTCGTGCAGCAAGGCCGCCAGGGGTCCTACTTGAGATATTCCCCGTGATTTTTTTTCTCTCCTTCCCAGCTAAGCGACTATGGATGCAATTGAACGCCACGATCCACAATATGCGATTACGGGGTTCGTCTTTAAGACAAAAGGGAAAAATCATCACCACAAAAAATGAACACAAGCGAGAAGCTCAAAAAGGGAAACAAAAACGAACAAACCCTATTGGCCATGTCAGCCTTGTTACCCGCCAGAGCCATCACTATATTAGGAGATGCTTGTCGCTGGAGCTCCTTCACCCAGTTCTTGGCTTTTTGAAAAGATTCCTGAATAGCATTGTTGACAGGGATAAAATCTGAATGATCCATCCAAGAAAAAACATCAGAAGAAAATAGAATCTATTATCACCGGTATAATCTCTCAACAGGAAGATCACCATGTGACATTCTGCGATCGCAGATAAATCACTCTAATATAAATGTCAGAAGCAGTTCCTTCATTTTCAGTCTAACCGAAAATGTAAGGTTTGCATCTTTTAGAACCTCATTAGCAACTTGTATGAAGTATTAACCAAAATTTCAAAAGGCGGTTCAATTTCGAGTCACAAAACCAATAAGAATAGGAGGGGTAGTTACGGTGCGGGGATGGAATCTGGGATGTCTGCAGGATTCCCAAGGATAGCTTTTGTTTAGAATCACCCTTTCTTATCGTGATCGATACTAAGCTTGTTAGGGGTTTCAAACGGATACAGAATCGTCTAATTGCCCTCACCCCCACCCCTCCCCCCAGATCTGTAAAGACGATGCCCGATACTTCTTTCTCTATAGCGTCAAACGAAAGATGGATGCGTCATAACTGCACGTTTTATACCTTATGAAGATCGTACGTGTTTACAAAGTCCTTTATCGATCTTCTAGATGAATAAGTAAAAAAAAACAAGAATTAGATACGCCAGGTCAAATTCCAAAACAAACAAACAATGGATACATGAAATAAACAACTTGCGCTTGCCTGATTCGTTATGTCGTAAACAACAATGGCGGCTTGGGCACCTCTATAGTACATGGGCGCAAGAGAGTGATATCGCTCTTGACCAGCTGTATCCCAAATTTCAAATTTTACCGTAGCATCGTCAAGGCAAACCTGGAAATTCAACTCGCATCATGAGAGAAAAAAAAGAAAGCGAAATCAAGCAATCGCAACCTCTGAACTGGAGGAAGGGGGGGGGCATGTCCAAAAAAAAGCTAAATGG